CAAAAATATCCAAATGGATCCAAGAATGGTAACTGATATTTTCGTTGAAATACAATAACTGAAAATTTTCGTGATTACAATACTTCCTTTACTTCAAACAAGGGAGTAAAAACAATCTGCCTGCACTTTCATTAAATTTTCTTCTCCATACGAGGGCTATCCAGAAAGTAGATTACGTTTTGGAATAAAAAAATAAACAAAGTATAGGAACCAAATTTTATTATACAGATGAAAGCCACACTCAAATACTACTTTTCTACATAGTCACCATACAAATTAAGGCATTTATCGTAGCATGTACGAGCTTGGAAATTCCTTCGTCGAAAAAATTCGGCCGCCTGCGCCTTCAACCACTTCGTTACTCTTCTTGCAGCTGTGCGTCGTCATCAAAACGCTGCATAGCCAGCCACTTCTTCATTGCTGGGAATAGGTGGAAGTCGCTCGGTGCCAGGTCGGGACTGTACGGCGGATGAGGAAACAACTCCCACTTAAAAGATTCAAGAACTTTACGAGTGACATTTGCCGTGTGGGGCCGGGCGTTGTCGTGAATCAACAAGATCTTAGAGCTCAACATTCCTCTGCGCTGTTTTTAAATTGCTCTTCTGATTTTTGGAGAGTTTGCAATACCTTTGAGAGTTTATTGTAGTGCCTCTTTCCAGGAAGTCCACCAAAATTACACCTTTTCTGTCCCAAAAACAGTCGCCATCATCTTCCTTGCCGACATTGTTTGCATGCATTTCTTGGGTTTTTGGGAGACTTGTGTGCCCCCACTGCATTGATTGCAATTTCGTTTTCACAGTTCACATGTTTACCCATGTTCGTCACCAGTAACGATGCGATCGAGTAAAGAGTCACCATCCTTATGGTAAGCGTCCAAAAAGTTCAACGCTGCAGAGCCATTCGCTGATTTTGTGGTCCTCTGTCAAGATTTTGGAATCCATCTTGCACAAACTTGTGGTAACCAAGCTTTTCACTGATGATTTCGTGCAACAAACTTCGCGAAATTTGTGGGAAAACTCAAAGAAAGTTCCGTTATTGTGAAATTTCGATTTTCACGGACTTTAGCATCGACTTTTTCGAGAAGTTCGGCGGTCACTATGCTGGGTCTCCCACTTCGATCTTCGTCGTGAACATTGGTTCGGCCATTTTGAAATCTTATGACCCACTGACGCACTCCACCTTCAGTGATAATGTTGTCCCCATACACTTCACGAAGCTGCCGATAGATTTCTATCGGTTTACAGTTTTTTGCAGTCAGAAACCTTATTACTGAGCGCACCTCGCAGCTCGCGGGATTTTCAATTAACGCAGACATTTCAAACCGTCACAGTATCTGAATGGAGCACAGCACGAACCTCTCACTAGCACGGCTAGATGCAGACTGAGCTGCGCAACGCTCTGACCCCAAGATGGCCGCGCTAGCCCCGCCCCTAGCGGACACAGACGGAAACGTAATCTACTTCCTGGATGGCCCTCGTAGTTTTGAGGTTTCCCCCCCCCATTCATTTCAAAAAGTGCACGTTTTTTCCCTACAGAGAGAAATTAAGGGATTTCGGCTTAAAAATGCTATAGTAGAACAGAGATGTGTCTCCGGTTCCCATATCCTCTCACAGTTTTTTTTTTTTTTTTTTTTACTTGCTTTCAATGGACAAGATTGTAGAAAATTTATCACATTCACCACACATTCTAACACCTGACTTAGCAGGACTCAGATGCTTTGATGCAAACTCCTCTCTACGGATAATGCAATGGATCCACAGTGCATTTGGTGATTTGCTTCGAATAAGTGCCTGCAATCCTCCATAACAGGCAGATCCATCAGTACAGACATCAATGCACTTAGGGAAAATCAAATTATTTTCAGATATAAATGTAACAAGACTGTCTAACATATCCTGAGCCTTCGCTACTGCAGTGATATTTTTACAACACAAATGGTCTTCTTTAATATTATTACCATCTATAAACCATACCTAGCATATCAAATAAGCATCCTTATTATTATCCATAGAATCAACTAGCTGCAATCCAAATTCCACTTCTTTAACATGCAAAGTATTTACTTAAATCAGTTATTTTATGTCCAGAATTCTGTCACTTGTCCCTTTCTGTTTTCCCACCAAAATGCAAATTTTAGCTCACATTTATTTAAAAGTGGTAGAAAGAAATAGTATTTAAAGGGAGGTCTTAGACTGCTTAGTCAGAGTATGTTCTGTATGCTGAAGACCCCCATTACTTGTTGAATTTATACGGTAGCATTCTGCCTATGGCATTGCTTTAATCTTGCTAACAATGCTGTCAAACTGGTGCACGTTTGAGCCAATTTTGGCATTAATTATTTTTGTGTAGCCTTTACTTATGATTTAGACTAGTTTAAATTTGAATTCCCTATCTTTTCAGTTTACACCACATATGCTGGTTGATTTTGTAAGCCAGGAGTGCCTCCTGTTCAGCTATACTGAGTTCTTAATAAAATGGTCTTTTACATCCTTCCATTTCTGTTTGCATTCTAGACATAACAATCATTTGCTTAGTTCTAACTGCAGTCTTAGTGAATGATACCAAAAAAAGAGTGAGACTCTACAAATTTTTTCAATTAATGGATAATCAATATCCTTTGCCATGTACTGTATTCTTCAATTACTTGTGTTACTGGACAAAGACACTTTTAAAATCAGCTTCTCAGAAGACTCAACCTTGATGTTCACCATATCTACAGCAGCCAGTAGAATGAGTTCTGCGATGCTATGAGGCTTCTTAAATTTTGAGATTCCAAAAGCCACCTTGTAAGATGCTAGTAAAGCATTGTTTGGTATTGATGCAGTCTTAAATTTGTTGTTGTTATTGCTTCAGTTCTTTTAACTTCCTGGGAAAATAATCATGAGATCTGTCAACCATGATGTGGTGATTAGCTTCTAAGTTACACATCAGCTTACTTCATATACAATACATATTGTGGTTTCTCAACAACATTAATTTCTATGGACGTAAATCCAAACTTTAAATAACCATCATCATATTTTTGTGATATTTCCATCTCTTTATAGTTATGCTACTGATTGGATACATACTTTTTTATGACCACTATTACATTTATTATTGTTAAAAAAATCGGTTCAACATAAAAGATACAACAGCAAAAGATCACACAAATATTTAGCAAAGAAAACAACGACAAATGAAATACTAACCATACTACATAAACCAATTTATATCACTGTTTATTTATATAAAGCACTGAGTTTAATTTCACTAAGATTATAAACTGACTGACCGAATCAAGCCGGCAATGCTTGCTTATATATGCTTTCCGCAAGTTTACTTGTGTTACTGGTGTTAAGTTTCTCCAAAATAATAAACATCTGTTGCAAAGGGTCTACATACTTCAGCGTGTCTATAATTCTGTTCAACCTAAACCGAGAACACTGGATATAGTAGAAAGTGTATGCATTCAATGTAGAATATAGTTCTACCAGTTTGAGATGTCATATTGTAAAAATTACATTCTGAAATATAAATATTGTTGAGCAAAGAGGATGGAATGAAAATAATGTGTGAAAGGAGACATTATGTTACATCCACCTTTTTATTGAAATATTTGCTAATATAATGCCTATCATTTGGTCAAATTATGGGAGCATCTTCCTATCAAATTTGGTACAAAAATTGTTACTTTTGCTGTCGATTTGACTGTTATTTCTGTGACAATCATAAATCACAGGATACCCAACCTGAAGAATAATGGTGAATTTTCCAATCCAGGGGAAAAAAATAACCTCTGAAAGTTGGTACACACAAATCTGAATCAAACAGCATTATGAACTAACTTTAGCAACAATACAAAGAAAAATTCACGGTTATTTTTTTTAAAGAATGAACCATGAAAAGGCCATTCTAGCCTTGCACATGTTCTCATGTTAGACTATTATCAAATCAGGCAAATGTCATGAAGCAAATATAGCCTCAAATCATCCATAATTAGTGGAGGTGAATGTACAGCTTATTTCGTGAAATAGTAGACTGAATATCAATTTGTGTTTGCTTTGCTGTGATGGGTTGGTTCTCGTGTTAGGCTAGCATAAAGCTTAAAGGTTAGAAAGGAAAAGTTTGATGTGTTCTTGACAGATTGTTTGCGATGATTTGTCTTTGTTCGTAAAAAAAAAAAAAAAAAAAAAAAAAAAAAAAAAAAAACTAAGTGAATGAATTTATTTTGAAGTTTAGAGCAGCTTGTTTTCTGAAACTATTGGGGTTAGGGAAAATAACATGAATATTTAAAAGAACTTTCAAAACCTGGTGCTAAAAAGCTACTGTGAGAAATATGTAAGGAAATACAGTATTTTTAGCTTGCAAATTCATTACCACACAGATTTATTACATGTAGCATTTTTTAAAACTTAAAAATATATAGAAAACATTCTTTAATCATCATTAAAAATAGTTATTAATCCAAACACATTGATACAGCCAGGAAAAAAATGTCTAAAAATCAAAAGCAGTTACATTTACACTTACCAAATAAGGTATTACTAAATCAGGTTCAGTTTCACATAAATAATTTAACACTTGTGAACGGGGTAAATTTTCAGTTTCCATCAAATCTTCAGCAAAAATCTAAACAAACAAACCTTACTTAATAAGAAAATATGGATTTTTTTAAAAACAATTAAACTCTGTATCACAATAAATATCTTGCTATTGTTATCCTTTTTTATAAGTAAATATATTTTTAAATATTTATCATATTTACTAGCTACAAAATTACATTCAACTCCTGCTTAACGAGGGTAATACCAGGAAGAATGCCCATGGTTAATCTAAAATCACGGTTGAACTGATGGTAGTTAAAATAGCATAGGAAAGAGGAATAACCTATATTATAACTAACAATAAATACTATTAATAATTTACAGCTATTTTTAAGCAGTTAAATTTGGAGAATAAGTTCATTTGGGTCTGTAAATTAAATCAGCATTAAAAATGCATACTTCCAAAAAAAGGGGGGTAGAAGAAAGAAAAATATTTTTTTTTTATATTACACTTTTGTATTTCAAGAGCAGTCAATGGGAAACAGAAGACTAATAACTGTACAATTAAATTTATTTTTGCAATGCAGAAGTTTAATTTTAATGAATGATTTTAACAATATTTATATATTCCAGATTATGTGCAAATAAATTATATACTATTGTATATAAAAACAATTCCTAAATACCAAGGCATCATTTGTTATCACTGCTGTTATGTCATGCATTATCTTCTCTTTACATTTCTTAACATTTCTTACAGAAATTTGTGTTATTATGATAATTTGTAATTGTAATTTTTCCATCATTTCACAATAAACAAGCTGAACCCTTTTTGTAATTAAGGTCTGATCAATCTGCAAACCAGTTAATCAAGAGTTGGCTGTATTAGTTTATATAGCAAGCCATTAAAATTTCTTTAATTAATGCACCTACAAAAATATGATTTAAAAACATAAAGCCTAAGCAGCCAGCATTTTAGTTTCTCGTGTAAATTTTCTCTTTCGGCTTTTCTTATGCAAATATGTTGGTTTAAAGAACAGCATGAACTTTAAAATAATGCAAAATTAAGTTTTACATTTGCATCAATAATGTAATTTTGAGAAAATTTTGCATTTTGAGTCTTTTTATTCCAAGAAATAAAACTATTTTGAACTATTGAAACAGGTAAAAAAAAAAAAAAAACATTCTAAACAACATTTACTTAATAACACTGTAAATATAATTATCCTTAAATAATGAAAATACCTCAGCATTTATTACAAGTTAATTTTCAGTACATAAATATTCACCTTTTCCTTTTCTATAGTCCATTTGAAATAATGCATAAAAATATGTAATCTTCTTCTGCAAAGAAAATTTTTATTCTAAAATTAACAGCAATGTAACGATGAATTTTGCAATTTTTTAAGAAGATAAACTTATACAGATTGTCATCTCTCAAACTAAGATTTCCAAATATTGGTTTTTAATGTAAATCTCCAGGATCCAGTTCATAAATTGAATCTCTACAATTGAATAACAATTTTTTTCACATGCAAATTATGTTCTGATTTGATAAGTTATTGTTACCTTCTGATAAAAGAAACCACAACTCTGAAACATTCTTTTACTTGGCTTAAATCAAGAATACTCAGAATTCAATTAATTTATTTTTGTGGTTGTAGAAATTAGATTTCTACTATATGCTTCTTGGCAAATGTGATCACTAACATGAATGATTTAATTGTCAGAGTAACATAACACACAATGGCATGACCACTAAGTTAACCATAATGTTAACTGTAGTAATGTCATTGACCTATTAAGTGGTGTATATTATTAAACATATATAATTGGTAAGTGCAATCAAAGGAAAATTAATTGTACACAAATTTACATAAAACATATGATTAAATGTAATATGATGTATAATATTTCTATAAATTAATGCATTTATTGCAGTGCTGGTGTGTCAGAATGGTGCTATTCGTGTGCTGTAGTAGCACAGTAGTAGTGCATCAGTAGAATACTATCAGTTATATGCTTTATTTTTAATGTGGCACTTGAATTGAATTGAAGTTGAATGATAAAGTAGTTTAGGCATGTTCGTGAAGCATTATTTTTCTTTTTCACATGCATAGTTTTCAAATTTTGTGTTCAAATTTTTTTATGTGCATTTTTAAAAACAAACGACAGTACACATATGGGATGATATTCACAGAAATTCAAGAAAAGGAAAATAAACAAAAAATTTTCTGAGGCCAAAATATTAGAATACTTAGAAAAGACTGACTTTTCCCATTATGAGAGCACAGATGATGAAAACTATGATTGGGATTCTTCAAGCAAATTGGAAAGAGACAGTGATATTGTGATGGACACCACATAAACATCAGATTTTGAGACAGAAGACAACAATACACATCAACAATTATGGATGATTAAAGTAATGCAATACTGTTTCCTACACAAATGATTTCTACACAATTTATAATTTTGTATTCTTTTATACTTTTCTAAGTATATCAGTTAAGTATTATACACAATTTGCTACATTATATAATCTTTGGTGTGTAGGTATATGTAAATTTTTTATAACTTTTATTTTGCTTCAACATTTTGAAATAATAGGAATAATACAACAATCTGCATTTTATGCTTGTTATTTGAAAAGATTTTCTATATTTTTTCATAAATTTAATTTTTTACTGTATTACAGTTATACATTTTATTTCTTTTAAACTGCAGTTTTATGGCAATATGTCAAAAACTTCTTTAAATAATGATCAGATGCTCTAGAACATTAGAGGTACATGAATGATAGGTTGAACTTGATATGCCACTGATGCTCTAGAGCAGATTTTCTTAAACATTTTTCAATCATAACTCCCTTTTATTACTAAGATTTTTTTGCAGCCCCTAGCACCCGATAATATTTACAAAAATTTTGTGGGACCCCATAAGTACTGCGCAAATTTGACACACGCGTGAGTGAAACTGTCAATTTTTTCACTTGTATTGTAATATACTAATGCAGTTTTAGGTCATTAACTTTAATTTCTAATTTTAGAACATAATACAATATGCAAATGGTGGGAATGCAGTGGGAAGACAAATAAGGGATTGGTTAATTCCTTTATTTGTCTCATTATTAAAAATGGAACAAAGTTCATTTGAATTCTTGCATAAACAATTTGTAAATAAACCTCGGAAGCATTTTATAATAAATATTTTTTCTTCTCTTTAACTGTGCATATATGGAAGAATATTTGCATACCTTCAAACCGTCCTCAGGATGTTCTTTTAAAACCCATTTAGCAAATTCAAAAATTAAATCCAGATGTTCACTCCCTACAATGATAAATAAATAATAAACTATGTAGAATTCATAAAAACTCAAGGTAAAAGTTTTAGAATTTGAAAAAAACTCTGTAAACACTGAAAGAAAACATTGTACATGCATTTAAAGACCACAACTTTTCCAAAAAAAAAAAAAAATAAGTCATTTAATAAATTCATTACTACTGTCAGGAAAAATTGAAAGTTGCTACAGTTTTCACATTTCTATTGCTGCTGTTTAAATTCAGAAAACTGTTAAATCTATAAAACTTTTAGCAGCACAATACATACACGCAATTTCATAAATCTATATGTGTATGTACTTGCATGCTGTGCAATATGTACAAAATTAACCACTTCGTTTACTAAGAGAAAAAGATTTAAAACTTGAATTTAATGTTAATATATAATTTTAAATTGCAGAGAAATTTATTTTGCAAACTAAACTACTTACCTTTTTAAGTTTAATATAAACACAGCAAAAATTGCATGTTATAATAAATATGACATCAGAAATAAAATATTAAACTTTTCAGGTTTCTTTATTTTTGCTAAAATTACTCCTTAGAATTAGTATTTTAACATGTGATACTTCATTAAACTATTAACTTCTTAAAATAGTTTAGCATACTCATATTGACAATAACTAAATGAATGAATGAATAAAAATATTAAACATAAAAAATAAAAATTTAAATGCTTAATTTATAACATAACTTATTTGTAGTTATAATATTACTTAAAAGATGGAAGATAGAAAATATTAGTGATTAAATACCTAAGTGTTGCAAGTACTGTATTGTTCTTTCATGCCCTTTTAAAGGAGAATATGCTTTCTTTGCTTGTCTCATCAGTAACTCAAGAGCTGAAAATAAACTCAGGCTAAGCAAACTATGAAATACAAAACTGGTTTATTACAACATTAAAAAATTGTTATTAAACGGATCACTTTGATGCTTTTCATTATCTCGTGATTTCTTAAATTTGATTTAAAATTTCACAATGCTCAAAACTACATTTACTGTGAGATGTACACTAAAATAAATCAAACCTAAAAATACAAATATACTGGATAATAGTATTCAAAACTGGAAAATAAAAAGTGAAAAGTTTATACAAATCACATTACATAACAGTTTTAGTTTTTCTTTCGCAAACAAACATGACCAGAAAAAAAAAAGCCTATGAAATGTGAAAACTCTTGCACGTATTTTTTTATGATATAAAACAAATTCCACTCCTCCCATTATGTTTGGGAGAATTTTGAGAAAAGAGTTTTCAACCTGCAGGTGGCAGAGTTCTATAAAAAAAAAAAGCTAACATTTTGTTTTCCTTATTCGGCAAGAGTTCTAGTTAGTAAAATAATTATTATAGTTTAGTATGTTAAATACAAAAAATTCCATACCTTTACATACAAAATTTTAAAAGATATTTGATTGAAGTCTGATGATTTTGAAAGTGAATATTTTTTAACCTAATATACAGAATGATTATAAAACAAAAGTTACTCAGTTTAACAATCAATTATTTCAAACTGAGTAAAATACTTTAAAATTAATACCTGGCAACACAAAAATATTATGGGAGCCTATACAGAACTTTATGGACTGGCAACACATGTCTGCCAACTTGGAAATATGAAAAACCAGGATGTTTACTCACCCAAAACATGTAGTTTCTGGGAAGTTTTCGCACTGCACGATAGTAACAGTTTAAAAGTTTTAACTCAAAATTGGTTTAAATTAGCTTTATAATGAATGATTCAGTTTAGTCAGCAATTTATATTATGATCCTGGTGTAAAATGAATTAATTATACATTCTAACTTTTATGCTCTTTGGTTAATTCCATTTTATAATTTTCTTACACTTTTATACTGAGAAAATATATAACTCTGTAGTAGGAAAGAAGAGCTTCTGAGAAGGATAATTAGTATAGGGAAGGAAGTAGATCACCAGGGATGAGTAGAGAAGGAAAGCTTCATTTTATCAAAGTACTTTTGAACGTGGTAAAAAACAAAATTAATAATTAATATATGCATACTATTCTGTGGATAACTTAGTAATATACCAGATACTTTCTCCCTCCTTACTGTGTAATTGGAAGCACATCCTGCTAGCACACAGAAGGTCCGGATGAATCCCGGCAAGGACATTCCACATTATTTATGTCTCCTGCTGCTAAAAAATTAAAAAATCACTCTACATTGACACAAATTAAAATGTGTTGAATGTTAAATTATCAGCACCAGGATCTGGTGACTAAATCCAAAGCTCCCTGTGATTTCATGATGTAACTGGAAGCACTTCTTGCTAGCAATTGTTGTGCCCAAAGCTTGAATCTTGATGAAAGCACTGCAGAGTTTTTTATGTTTTCTATTCCAAAATGACGCAATGTATTAATTGAAACAAAAGGAAATACAAATCTATACTGATTAAAAATTAGGTTGAATCTTCATGTAAAGTTCTTTACGTGTTTACAGTAGATTAAGACAATTCAGATCAAATAAAATTCAGATAAAAAAAAAATAATAAGAAAAATTATGCCGAAGATCACTAGAGACGGGAGAATGGAATTTCTCCAATTTAAGCTTCTTTAACTCAATAATGAACCTTAAACTGGACAAATTTTATCTGTACAATTAATTTTATTCCCAAAAACACTTTCTTTAGGAAAGGCAAAAAATTAAAAACCATGAGTTTTGGTTACATTGAACAACAAATTTGAACTTTTTGTTGATATCCTTGATATAAAACACATTTTTATATGAAAGTTGTGGAGCTAAATATGAAACCAACAATGAAATTCAAAATTTAATTACAGATTTTTTATTAATTTTTAAATGCATTTTTAAACACATATTATTTATAAAAATTATTTGAAAGTTCTTTTGTAACATTAAATATGTCTTCATTTTGCTACCCGGTGATACACCACATCTGAAGCATTTTTAACAAGTGTCCAACAATAACCAGAAAGCATGGAAGACTCTTTTCTTTTATATCTTTTGTGCACTTCTTCAACGTCCTGGCGAAAGTGTTGCCATGTTCAGCACTAACCACACCGCAGTTATTTGGGATGAAATCTAAGAGGGAATTGAGAAAATATATTTTCAAAGACATGTTGCAACCCAGTTTTTTTATAACAACAGTCCCTCCACAAATTTAGTGCAGTTTTCAGACCTCCTGCTTCCTAGGAAGCTAATAACTACTTAACAAAAATGTATACAAGCATTCTTCTTGTCACCTGTTAAGGTATTTTTAAAACATTCATCCTTGAAAAGATTTCGAATTTGTGATCTCACAAAAATAGGTTCCTTTATTTTTGCTTTGTTTAACCTATGAAATTTTCCTCAAAGATACTGAAATACCAGGCCATTTTTATCCATAATTTTCACAAACATTCACATTCTGAGTGTTCACATGACACATTATGCACGTTCTTTTTTCCTGGTTCCAGGACTGTCTACTAGTGGGCCATTCTTTCTTTCTAAAATGATCTGCAGCTTGCTCGACAAACCCATTCACACAAAAAGCAGCAGAATTTCGTGTATACTTGCTGAAGATTAATGTTGAACTATCTATGAACATTCTCCATTCTTCCAGTTTATGATTCGCAATGAGAGCTCTGAATAAACAATTTAGATCTTTGCAAAAATTTAAGTCTCCATCAGTATTGAAGAATGGTATCAAATCTTTTTGATGAGCATGTGAGTTATCAGCATACCATTTTCCAAAAGCTTCCACTGCTTTAATCTTGAACCTAACAGTTCCATCTTAATTTTTTTTTTTTTTTTTTTCAATTATAGGTCTGTCATTTAGTCGCTTAATTTGGCTTCACTTATCATGTGAGGCTGTCTAGGTGAAGTACTGTGTGCGTAATGAGGATCCAAAAACGTTGACGGCATGTTTATAACATGACAATCTCCAGTACTTTTTTTCCTATTCTGAGCCGGAGATATAGATTTCCAACAGTTTAGAAATTATCAAATCATCACTATAGGATATTAGTCATATGGCTGATAGTATATTTGGTTACATTATAACATACTTCTGACATGTTTTTGTGATTTAACCAGTTTTGCAGATTAGAAGCCTACAAATTACAGTGGATGTGTGGGGCCAAGGACTTGTCTTGATCTTCCACTTTGCACAAGGCATCTTGCTTGTACACAGTCTTACAACTGACTAAAGAAGCACTACGCAACACTTTGTGTCGATTGCATCATCCTTCAAGGGTAAACATCTGGAGGATGTGTTCATATATCGGACATATTTCACAAGCGTGCGATTAAGTGCTAGTCCATAAACCTTCGAAACATGAACTAATAAACAATTTAAAAAATTATTTTTGTGTTCAGGAGATCAAAATTAATAGATATTAGTTGTTTTTAACTCTGTTTTTTTTTTTTTTTTTTTTTTTTTTTTTTTGGGCTATTGACTAGTATTATCTACCAAGAAAAGCATCAAAAACTGGGAGAGTTGGCAGAATAGAGATAAGAAATAGAAAAGAGATAGTGTCATTGATGGCAATACTGAACAACCCGGTTCGAATCCTAGAGCAGGCACAGATGTTCTAAGCACACAGTGTCTGTGCAGCAAGGAAACACTCAAGGAACAAAATACATGGCGAAACGAAATTCTCTTAAGAGGATGGTGGTACAGAAAGAGAAATAGGACTCTCACACTGCCCCTGAGGTGCTCTCATTCAGAATTCTATCAGGGGTGAAAACTTAGTAACTGCAAGGCTCTGCAGTACCTAAAGGCTTAGATGGATGCACAGATGCTGACCTTGCTTCAACCTTCACCTGTTGCTTGTGAAAATAGGTTGTGTCATTTTATTAATGTAGGTAAAGCTAACATACAGATCTGGTCTGTTTCCTAGTTATAAAAGATAAATTTCAGTGCATTTTACAGTAACATACATCACTACAGCTAACTGCAATTTAACTTGAAAGAGTTTCGCCTTCAGGATAATATTAGGCTACAGTGGCACAACAGCCTATGAAAGTTTTGAAGAAAATTAGTGGGCATCAGTTCCTAGCCAAGATCCTACATGAGTTGAAGAGGATGGATTTTTAACATGGAACAGGAAGTAAAACCTGCCAGTTTATTATATTACATGGACACATGATGATATACGAGAGTTGGAACTTTAATAGTGGCAACACAGCTGAAAAAACGCTACGCAACAAAACCAAAGAATATCGCGTATACCACACGTGAACTACATATCTACCTTACCTCTCAGCAAAGACTCATCCTGCCTACGTCATGCGCATGCGGAGTGATGCGAAGAACGGATCCTTGTATTAGCTCGCAGTCTAAAGTAAGTGTTGTCAGGATGTTTTCAAAACAAGAACAACGATGTTGGATAAAAATTGAATGTGAGTTCGAAACCAGTACAGCACGACAGTGTCATCAAGGGCTTCAAGAGGCTTGCAGGGAATCTGCATTGCCTTACAGAACCATAGCAAGATGGGTGAAAGCATTCAATGAAGGACGCCAAAACGTGGCAGACATGCTGCGGCCAGGTTGTCAGAGTGTCAGCGATGCAGATGTGCAAGCTGTTGCCGCACTAATGGACAGTGATCGCCGCCAAACGATTCGTCAGCTGGCCTGACAAACAGGATTAGCACATACGACTGTGCTGCACTTTTCTGAAGGAATGCCTGTCCATGAGTAAAATTGCTTCACGATGGGTTCCACATCAATTGACGGAAATGCAGAAATGGCTACGATACGATGCTGCCCGAACCCACCTGGAGTGCTACGAGCGCGAAGGAGATGCTTTTTTACTCTGTATCATTACGCTGGATGAGACTTGGGCCCGATCGTAACAGCCAGAAGTGAAATGCCAATCAAACGAATGGCGTCATCACGGGTCACCACGACGTTCGAAATTTCGTCAGAACCCCAGCAATGTGAAAGTTATGGTGATTCTCGTGTATGACTGTGATGGTGTCATCGTAACGCATACCGTTGCCCCACAGTAGATCGTCACTGCGCAGTATTACTGCTCATTTTTGGAGCACAATCTCCGACCAGCTTTGAGAAAAAAACGGCGACACTTTCTGCAGAATGCTCCTCTCATTTTGCATGACAATGCTTGGCTGCATGCAGCGCAAGCTGTGACTGATTTGTTCAAGCGATGGGGCTGGTGTGCTTACTATCCACCATACTATCCACTTTACTATCCACCATACTCCCCAGATCTAAGCCCTTGTGACTATGACTTAATTCCTAAGATGAAGAAACCACTTCGTGGCACTCGCTTCCAAACTGTTCCTGAGATTCTTGCGGCAGTAGACTGGTCCATTCAAACTATCAACAAAACAGGCGCTACTACAGGTATTCTGCGACTTCCACATCGTTGAAAACAGGTTGTACAAATGCTGGTGACTATATTGAAGGACTGTAAAACATGGTGACATGAATCAATTTTGTATTCCTTGTAAATAAATAGTTGCAACTATTAAAGTTCCTACCCTCATATAATGATCATAAAATGGTCTTTTAATTGATGTTTGAGAAGTTAAGTCTCCATTCAAGTGAGAGCTTTTGTGTTACATGAGGAATAAGCTGAACTTCATTGCTAGGCAATCAGATCTTGCTACATGGCCCGAACTGATTTAACTCTTTCAGGATGGACATATCATATATGCATTGGCCGTCAACTGTATCTCAGAGCTGGGTGTGTCATACATGGGTTACCTTTAAATTGACTTTTAGGACAAGGTGTATCACACATGATTTTTTAACAAAATATTTAATTAGCATCTTTTTTTTGCCACTACATGTAGCCGAGTCTGTTATGATGGGGTTTACTGGAACTGCAGAATGCTGGCCTTCATTCTATTCAGTATTTTGTTTTGGAATCAAAATGGAATTCACAGGTTGAGTAATGTAAACAAATAGAGCAGGCAATTAAATATGTCAGCTGATATAAACACATGGGAATGTTCTCAAATGCTTCTGAATATTTTTTTCCTTTACTTTTGAGGATATATGTCCTTTTATTTTAGAGGTTTCCTTCATTTCTCTTAGAGTCTGGCTCCCACTGAGGACAATATTTTGTGCATCATTTAAAAAAAAAAAAAAAATTAATGACAAGGAAAAGATAAAGTTTTCAAATTGATGCTGATAATTACCTGAGTGTTCCTCTCATAATGGACCAAAAATTGGAATGATTGGATCATAAATTTAATTTATGCAAACTTTTTCCAAAGCAAGTAGTCTTAGCAGTGCGAATCTGGTCCCAACAAGACAGTGCATCCTGATAGCATACTCTCCCAAGTTCAATGACTGATGAGTCTGCCACAAAAGGGTTAAGGCTTTTGCCTAGATGTTCTAACTTTCTGACATTATACCAAAACTTGGTATAAAAACCGACCAATCACAAGAAAGCAAACATGAACTGACATTTGGTCAACAGTTTCACTGAGTCAGCTGCACATTTACACAAGCACATCTTGACCTTCTCTTATTGACTATGGCTTAAACCCTGCTACACGGTGTGAATGGATTTAATGGTTTTTATGCCTTAAGCCCTAAAAGCCTTATGAGTGAAAAATCTTCACCTGAACAAAACCTAACATATCTTTGGGAACAGTACATATCATATGAAGAAAAGAAAGGAAACCCTTGCCTTTGGTTTTTGACTATTAATTTCTGGATTTCTTCATAAATATCAAAACATTTGTTATTTTTTGCAAAGATATCAACGTAGAATTTTTTATACTTTACTTATAGCATATTGCAGATTTCACTAACAGCAGTTTTTTTCTTAAAGGGAACTGTATAAAAGTTTCAATTTTATATTTACATATAAAATTGAATAATGATGCTACTAAAATTCTATATTTTGCAAATTATAGAATTTTAGTAGCATCATTATTGAATTTTATATGTAAATACTAAAATTCTATATTCCGATAAAATTATATATTTTGCAAAACTATAGATATATGTTTAGGATTGAGATTTAAGAAAATAAAGCCTCTAGTCTCTTTTTCAAATTTAATAATTTGTAACAGTACTGCAAATAATTATAAATGAGAAAATAAATAAAATCAAAAAGAATTTATAAAAATAATGAACTTGAAATGAACATCTTTAAAATTTTTTAGCATTATTATTTTAGGGGATAGAGAAATAATATGAAAATGAACATGACAATTGACTACTCCAATTACTTTTAATATAAACTTACCTTTTCTATGCATGCCTTTTTTGTTATAAAGTATGATCAATTCACTGTATTTCTGATGCATTTTTAATGCTCTTTCAGATTCATCGATGTGGCAATAATTGTCTTTAACCCTCAATAATGATGCTACCAAAGCATCATTTGTCTAGGATTATAACAGTTCATCATTAAAATCTTCTCAAGAACAGCAAAAAGGCAATAGTGTAAAATATCAGTATTAACTTGGAAACATTAACAGATGGAAACAAAAAGCAATGTAAAAATTTCACTTGAAAAAAAATGCAACATAATTTAATTAAAAACTTTTACTGTACCTGAAGGTAACATTTAAGCAAAGTGGTGTCAATGATTTGTAAAAGCTGCTTCTTTGAACGAATTTTAGTTTTCCCTGCCTCCATTATAGCTGTCATGGATGGAACATTACTTGTAAGATCTGATTTTAACCTGTGACGCACCTAAAAGTTGAAAAAGAAAATTTAATTATGACAATAATTGATAAATATACCATATTAGCACTTATACAAAATATTAAATAATACACCAATAACAACCCTTATAAATTTTTCAAACATAAAATATGAATATACATCACGTGAAAGATAAATATAAGAATGGTGCTGTTTTAACACTTTATCAACCGATCGCCTATTAATTGGCTTTTTATCACCAATGCCTAGCGACCGATAGCCTATTAGTCACCTTTTTTCGCCAATGCCTACCAACCGATCGCCTATTAATCAGCTTTTTTCGCCACGGCCTACCGACCGATAGCCTACTGATCGCATTTTTCTTGGGGTTACTTAAAAATAGCATATCACTTGGTAGCGATGGCAATAAACAATTGCCACTTGCAACATCATCTGCATTTTATTATTAGTATTGAGGTACACTGCTAAAAAAAAAGGGGGGGACAGTGTTATATCTCCCGTTCTACTAGGGCGATTCATGAAATTCAAATTGCGTTCTTCATGTCTCAAAAGCGTGACTTAGGATATATATTAGATTTATATATAGCACTAATCTAACATATGTATTTTGACACAAAATCGGACTTTTTCTGAAATAATATACCAATTTTTTTCCATATTTCGATTCTACGACTCAAATTATGCCAGAAATACCAAGTTTTGTAAAATCATATGATAGTTTTTAAAATATTAGCTCCTCAAATTTTAGGTCCTCATGTTAAATGAATTTGGCAATATTTATTAATATTCTTTTTTTTATTAAACTTTTTTATTTTTACTTTCACATTTTGAAATTTAGGTTCATTCCAAATAAAATTTACCTTTTTTGTGTGTTTCCATTTTTTAAATTTCTATTTTTAAATAATTTTTAGAAATTTTTTGAAAAAAATTTTTGAATTATAACCTATAAAATGTTTACCGTCATCTTAAAGTAGGTGTATTTTTTAGCATACTGGAAAAAATTAAGACTTTTTTATTCAAAATTTTCTAAGATATACAGGAATACATATTTCGCAGTTTGAAATTTGACATATTTTTTGAGCGATAATAACGCCAAATGTGTTTTTATGATTTTTGTTACAGTGAATTGCCACAGCTATTTTTAACCTTAAATTTCAAGTAAAATTTTACGGAGAATAATTATATGATTTTTTTCCTATATGATGCATAATAAATATTATTAATACTATATGAAAAGCTATTTTTTTTAATTATAGATTATTAATTTTTATAATTATAGATTTTTTAATTATAGGCATAATTTGAGTCACAGAATCGAATATGTAAAAAAATTGGTATGTTATTCAGAAAAGTCCGCTTTTGTGTCAAAATACCCATGTTAGAATAGTGCTATATATAAATCTAATATATATCCTAAGTCGCGCTTTCGAGACATGAAGAACGCAATTGGAATTTCGTGAATCGGCCCAGTAGAACGGGAGATATTGAACTGTCCTCTTTTTTTTTCTTTTAAAAAGCAGTGTACATTGCTTACTTGTGTTAAGTGCGTCGTTTCGTAAACTACCACATATTCACACCATTTTTTTAAAATTTACTGTTCACAATGAGTGAAAAAAAATGGTATTCGAGAGTTTTATTTAGACGATTTATCAGATTGTCCTGACAGTTATTCAGAACACGGAGAATCTGCGGCTGAGCGGCCAGTCGGAAGTGCGTATGCTTTTGAACTGCTAGCGGTTGGTAAAGTGTTAAAAGTTAATAAAAAATTATTTCCCACCTCATTGGGATACAACCCATACCATCAGAAGCAACAAATGTTTAAATTTCTGATACATTGATTGCAATCTTTCTGTCAGCATCTTGAATTAGATGACAGGCATTCACAAACTCTACATGTCATGTCTGCTTTAACGGTCTGCAGAGAATGCTTTATCCAATCGTGAAGTTATTGGTTGGATGTAGGCAACAGTAGTATATAAATGCCATCTTTACCAAGCTCCTCAAAAAAAGACACTGCATGGTGTATGATCCAGTAAAAAGATGGCCAAGGGAAAAGACTCTTGTCCCCATATGTATATGTATGATCCACCACTGTGGAAGAACACGACACAGAAGGAACTGATATTCCTACGAAAATGTGTTGGAAGGTTCCAAGGTTCCATTCAGTAGCAGACTTCAACTGGTATTCAGTTAAGGTAACTACCAGTTTCCTAACATGTCATGAAATGAACTGCCAGTCAAAGCTGCTTCAGGAAGAAGGGGGAAAAGTATAATTTCTCATGGTGCATTGCAGAGCAAGTATTGAATTTTGGAAGTTTGCACAGTTATATCTGTTTGAAACCATCACAAAATTGGAGCAGCATTTTAGTACCTCAAAAATGTTATACAGAAAGCTATCTCCCACTATGACACCATCATGGATACAGATACTGTACCTTTATGCATGAGAACCGTGGCCATTTTTCATGGTATAGAATTGTGCCAGCATAAGATCAGAAACAAATGTGCTATTAACTTTTGAAATTGCAACATTTGTCTTATAGAAATGCACCTGACACAATCTAATAGTGCAATATGAAAAATGCCTTAATAAAAGTATACTATAATATGGATTCAAAATAGTTTTTAAAATCGTAAAAATTAATTTTGAAATTGAATCAAATGTAAAATATATTTATTTATGCTATTTTTATTATGGAATTCCCAGAGCAAGTATGATTATATATATATATATATATTATATATATATATGTAAAATAAAATTCCATAGTCAAGAAATACACTTAAAATTCTAAATGTATGTTTTTCATTTCTAATGGCGACGTTCTATTATTTGAAAGTACGTGGAATAAATCCACAGCCCCGTAGTCAAGTTGTTTTTCCCCGCCTTTTCTACATACAGTTTTAGAATGTTCTGGAGATATTTAAAGCGAACTGGATTGGCTGACGTCATTTCTTGAAGCTCCGCCTTTCCTGAGGCTATAAAAGGACTTCAAAAGAATATCGGGGCTTTTCTTAATGTCACATGCAGTAAACTTCATACAAAAAGTTTAGTACTCTTTTATTACTCCAGATATCTGATTTTGTAAACTACTATTTCTCCTGAATAATAATAAATGATCCGGATTTTACTTATCTCTGATAATTTAGCTACACTACGTTATATTCTTCACATCTTATTCTGGACAAAGCTTGTACATCACTACACACACAAACACACATATATATAACCATAATATATTACTTATATATATACTGTTTCTATCAAACTTCCAACTCCAGAGTTACATTTTCCATTTGCTAGGCAGCAACTTTTAATTATCACACCGATCATAATTTCACTATATTTACATAGAAGCTACAATTTATATATGTATATACAATTTATATAATTAGTAAATGAAATAGAATAACATGAAAATGACAAGCATAATTGCAAATAAATTATGATACAATCCTGATAATAAGATCATCAAAATGCAATTTAATTAAGAACACTATTAAATTTACGAAAAAATTATTTTTAGTCGAGACATTTGTTTTAATATTTTGTAATATTTTTAAATTACGGAAATAATTGAACATAAGTGACTTCAGAAAACTAATATAGGGTTAATAGCAAACGTTTGGCGCTGCCTATGCTGTCTCGCCCTCCTAAGCCAATCGGGTCTCTATATGAGGCACTATAGATGGCCACCTTGCCTCTATGATGGACAAACATTTACGAGCACATTCAGAAACTAAGTACCATTTTGGAAAAAAAAAAAAAAAAAAAAATAGTAAACAATTTTTTCGATCCAATTTATTTTTACATGAAATACGTCCTACTATTTTCAACTAGTTTCCCGCCAATAATCACCACTTGTCATAGCGGGTGACAGTTTTCGTATACCCATCGCAAGAAACTTTGACGATTTCGCCAGTTTCGATAACCACGACTCACGCATTTTTTCATGTCTCGTCAATCCCAAAGCGCTTGCCACCAGCTCGCGCTTCATTCAGAACAGTTATAGTCGGCGGTGCCAAGTCCGTGCTTTACGTCCGGGTGATCGAACTCCTGCCCCAATGAACTGTCGAATTACGATTGAGTGACACCATAGATGGGCGGAGCAGTGTCATGGGCAACAAATTCCTTTACTGGCTTCCCTCTTCCTTTGTTTTGAAGGCCGCTTAGTTTTGTTACAGTCTCACTATTTGCCGCTTATGGTCACCCCTGGAAGAAATCATAAGCAAAACCCTTTCCTTCCCGAAGACAGTGATGTGCTCCACCCATCGATTGTTGTTTCGTTGGTATGAAATACACACCCAGTCTCATCCCTGTCACATTGGTTTTAAAAAGTTTTCTTCCCTCCTCACTGTAACTGCGTGAAAAATTGCAGGGGCAACTACCAAGTGTGCTTTGTTTTTTGGAACATCATGAGCATTTTTGAACCCATGGAACACAGTTTGCGATAATTCAAGCGGTCAACACAATTTCGAACAAAACGTCGTGAATTTCTGAAATGCCCTGAAAGAGTTTCATTGTGAGCGTCTGTTCTCATGATTGCTTCATCAACTCTCCATAACAATCATCGGATAACATAAGGCCGACCACTCCTAGCCTCGCGGGACTTTTTCGACCCCGCATAAAACTTCGTACCCCCACTTTCTCACCATTCCATCACTAGCGGTATTCCACCGTAAATTCTTCACTTATGATAAATTCTGCCGTTTTAACATTCCTGCTTCATAAAATTAATCACAGCACTATCTCACGTCAGAGGAGAACTAATTCTTAAAATTTTGAATGTGCACAGCAAACTGAAACACAACTGGGAGCAACCAAAATGGCACAAAATTGAAAGTCATGAACAAGAAAGACTAATGCGCATCGCGGACCCTACCACAAGAATGCTCGACGGCACTAGAATGAAACGGTACTTAGTTTCCGAATACACTACGTATATCCATGCCTTCTCCGGGATTCAAACCCGGACCCTTTGATATCAGAATGAGGCTTCCCAAACCACTATACCGCCTGATCGGAATAGCAAACTGTTTCTTCAGCTTAAATAAATACAAATATTCCTTTTCATCTTCTCTTTGCAATGCTTTTTCAATATGAATTTTAAAAATATAAAATACAGAAATTCTTTAACATTTTAACATCACATCTATTGAAATTTAATTAGAAACAAATACTTATATTTCAGTTACATAAAATGACAATAAATTATTTTCTTTACTTCAACTAAATAATCAGTAAGAGCCAATAATCCATTCTCTAATTCTGTGCCTTGAAAATTTGGAAGTATGTCTGGATACTCAAGGCTGCTTCGAAATTCTTCTGGTAATAAATTGGGAAACAGCCCTATAACATGAGATGGATCTAAAACAGAATTAAGTTATTGAAAAAAGCAAAACATTTTAAAATATGCCAATAGAAGCCACAAACAAAAATTTTATAAAAAAAATCAAATGCAGATGAAAAACAGTGTTAATGGCACAGCTGATGAGTTATTAATATGTAAAATGTCAAGAAATCTAACATGGGAAATAAAAGAAAAACACATGCACTAGTATCTTAAATTAAATGCATGAACTCAAATAAAAACTCTCATTTTGCTTTCTCTTCTGTTTACATCACTGTCAATCAAGGTAACAAGAAGTTGTGGTCTTCTTTTATAGCCCTTACAATCTGCCTGCTCATTTCAAAAGCCAAATGGCATGTAGCAATGTTATTTGCCTGGTCAGTTCCACATATGCTCAGTGTGATCAACTTGAACATTCCAGTGATTAAACAACAGGTCAGGAGAACAGCTTATGCCTTTTGCACTTACAAAGATTTGGAACAATTACATACTTGCAACAATTTAAAACAGTTGGTTCATTTCACACTTATAAAAATTTATAGTTACATATCTCTTATAATTCAGGTGTATTTGAATAAAATAGTTATTTGTTGTAAAATATTTTGGAATGTTTGTTGATAAGGTTTCACAAGTTTAG